TGGCAGCAAGAATCCCGAAACTAACGCTGCACTAAGAGGACCAATAACATGCTACGCTTTTTACACAGCTAGGCCAGTGATCGGCCAGTTGGAGCTTGCTTCTAGGCCTTCGTTCTCATCCCGCCTTTGAATGCCTTGCCGTGACTACACTTTAGCCATTAGCACGTTCCTCGCATCTTTTCCTGCAGACTGCACTGCTGCAGGTTGGCAGATTTTCCGGGAGCACACCACACTACACAATGATGCGCCCCTGCTGCCCACAGCCTCCTTTGCGAAGACCCCTACAAAACCGACCAAAAGCAAAGCAAGACTACGAGCACCCATCATGGGCGAGACATACCCCATACTAGACTAGACATGGCCCCTGTCTACCCGCAGCTCACTGCCTAGCGCTTTGAGGACAGCGGCCGGGAAAGCCAGTCCAAACCCTCGCAAAGCCGTCTCCGTTGGTGGCGCAAGCAGACTGGATAAACCACTGACGATTCTCCGTTCCTTCCGCTGTGGTCATCGCATCGCATTCGGCAGAACCTGCCTGTCGGCGACGACGAGAAGCACTGCATCTTGTCTTCAGCATTTAGCTGAGAGCTCCTCGCGTCTTTGATGCCCAGTCGTTGCTCTCACCTAGAGCCATACATACCCTGGTAGTAGTGGCCCCCGAGAGGTCCAACGGTCCAATCTTTTCCTGGCTGGCCACTTTTTCATGCCTGGGATCTGGAACGGCAAGAAGTCTACATTTTGGGTTGTGACAGTACGAAAGACAGCCAGAATCCAAACACGACAGTGAGCGTTGCTCTCCACAGCCCTGATGCTGTGAATCACAAAGTCTTGTAAGTATTCTTGAAGCCAATCGTAGGAATCGTGATCACCACTTCGCCCAACTTCAGCTTGTCAGGAATGGTTGTCTTGCCAGCCGTGTCTAAGCCGACGATCAACGCATGCATCTGCTGCTTCCCGATGAGCCGCTGCCATTCCTCTTCGTAAATGCAAAATCCACAGCTCAGGGACCTTGGTTTGAAAACGTAGACCGCCGCCGTTGAGCCGAGGCGGAAAGCACCCTTCACTCGTTCCGGCTCTGGGGCTATGAACGTCTCTGATGGATGCTTTGACGGTGTAGCTTCAGAACAAGTGCCCGCAGACGAAGTCGAACACTCTCAACATCGCAGAACAGTCTCTGTGTTGCTCTTGAAGGGGGGCGGAGGGGGGGGTTCGAGCAGCTGGCAGGTCGTCATAGTCTAGAAACCAAGATGAAAAAGTCATATAGCAATCATGACAGTAAAGTAATCGCGCGAGTAACAACAGTTGCAAATACGATTTATATTCACGTAGTAGCTAACAGGTCCTCTTGAACCTGCGCAACGTCCTGACCGGCTCTAGCGAGCCTCGGATAGCAGGATGCAGGACTTGAGGCTACCATGACAATGATAATAAGAATAATAACAATAATGACAGTAGTAAGTATATAACAAACCCCGATAATCCTAGCAATAAAAACATTTAATGCTACGAATAATGATATCAGTAAATATAAGAAGCCGCGCAGGCAGCTTCAGGCTTGGAGCCTCCTCGACTGTCTGGTGCTTAGTAGGGAAAGGGGGAATGGATCCCTATATATATATATATATATATATATATATATATATATATATATATATATATATATGGTCACCCCCCCCCCATGACAGACCATGCCCTTTCGACTCAGTCGTAGTGCATGGTCTGTGATCGGGGGGAGGGGGCACTCAGCTTTCAAAGCCTCAATTCCAAAATTTCCAAAATTCTCTCCCCTAACTTTCCAAATTTCCAAAATTTCCAAAATTTCCAAAATTTCCGAAATTTCCAAAATTTCCAACATTTCCAAAAAGTCAGCCCTTATGTTTTGGAAAAATCCTGTCGACTAGGTCGGGAAATTTTGGAAATTTTGGAAATTTCGGAAATTTCGGAAATTTTGGAAATTTTGGAAATTTTGGAAATGCGGAAAGTTAGGGGAGAGAATTTTGGAAATTTTGGAAATTTTGGAAATGCTGGAATCTGTTCTATATATGACTCAAGTAAGATTACTGTGTAGTGCTTACTATGTAGTGTATCAGCACAACCCTCATCCATACACGTGTGCTCTGTAATTCCTTTCTTGGTAGGACACCCGCGCGCCTTGTCGTGCTAGTCTCCGCATCGGACCAGATTACTTGCAAAGGCAAGGGCTGTCAATACTCATGCCCATATTTACACGAATATCTCTCTATCTATCTGTATATCTATATATACATATATGTATTGATACCCCTACATATAGTATTGCCATTGAACATACTGACATTGATCATTTGTTGAATGCTCAAGCTAATACCAGCATTACTACTAATATTACACTTCTATAAAGCTTAGTACGAATATGCATAACACAAATACTAAGATTGATTAGTATTGCTCTTAGTACTCCTACGCATATCAATAACCATATTCATATTGATAATAATGTATAATAATACCAATACTAACACACACCTGTATGTACTAATGTACATAAACATGCATACCACCATATTAAAATACAAATCCTTTAACTCACTCATGAATTCAACTGTTAGAATTTCACGTGGTCAAGAGTAATAACAATACAAACATTCTTTCGAATGTATATCATCAATAATATGATAGTACTAACGCTAACACTACTGCTAATACTTAACACAAAATCTATACTAACATCAATATTTACATAGCTATTTATACTCCTACGAATACGAATACGTAAACCCTTGTGCGTTAACAGTAGTGCTATCACCAACACTAATACGGACTTTGATAATCTGCTGCATATTCAAGAATGCCACTAGTATTACCAGCATGAACACTCATATTATGGCTATTACGAGTATAAATAGTCCTACTTCTACTAGTATTGACATTAATACTCCTACGAATACCAATAGTATATTCATATTGATATGAAAACTAATACCATTACTAATAGACACCTGCATATACTCATGTACATAAAATACGTACCACTATCTTAAGATACAGATATATACATCAGTGCATTCATGTATTAATGCTTTGGCATAGGCATATACCCATATACCAATGTATCAATATACTTCTCGTTGTTGTATGAATATACTATACGAATATGTGACTATAATCATATACGGCTACTGCACTATGCAAGAATACCGACATGACAAGTTCGTATACTAATATGCCAACATACTGATATACTTATACATGATTAGATAAAACAGTAATATAGTACACATATTCGTACACTAATATGCTAACGTACGAATATACTGGTATGTCAATATACTAGTAAGCTAATACAGCAGTATAGTAGTGTAGTCATGCACCAGTTGTACTAACATGTAAAATATACTAGTATACAAGTATGCAAATATTTTGCTGTCCGAATACATTGATGTATTGATATACTAATCTGCTAATATACGAGACTATCAATATACTAACATATCAAAACTAACTAGTTCTAATATTGATACTAATACTAGCACTTCTGCGAATATAAGCTGCTGTTAAACCCAGCATTAAGACTGATACTGATACTACTCGTAGCAGTGGTGCTGTATTACTGACATTGACACTGGCACTAGCGCTAACTCTAACACGAACATGAGCACTAACACTAATTTATAGTTGGCAATATTGATACGTATACTTACAGCAAGCAATAGTACTAATATTAATAACAATACTCACCCTAATACCGATACTACCACAAGACTATTACGTAACTCATGTGCCGCACGTCTGGTGCTATACTATATACCTCATGTAACGGTTTTGCTTCACAGAATATCGTTGTGCACGGTGTTTTTTAGACCCGTGGTCTGTCACCGGGGGGGGGGTGAGCATATATATATATATATATATAGATATAGATATATATATATATATATATATATATATAGATATAGGTATAGATATAGATATATGTAGATATATAAATAAATATATATATATATATATATAGATAGTAGTCCCTATATAATCCCCAATCATAGTCCCAATAACCCATTCCCCCATTCCCTACTAAGCACCAGACAGTAGAGACCATGATAAGCAACTAGGGCCCAAGCCCCGGGAACCGAGGAAGGCGACTGGGGGGAGGGGGTCCAATCATGTTCCAATCATAGTCATAGTCATAGATCGAATACTCACCAAGATAAGACAAATCGCCTACAGTACATAGCTGCCGTACTTACGCTCACACCAGGTTCAGGATGACAACTCGCAACTTGGCGAGGCTGGGCAATGCAAACTCAAAGAAGCCACAACTACCAGGCACCTTGCGGATGTTTGAGACTATGGGGGACCCTTCCCCTGCGCGGAGCCTGGGAGTCGTGCACCTGCTCCTGAGCAGCTCCGGTGTAGAGCTTTGACTACTTAATTAAACTTAAAATAAACTGCACAGAAACCGTCTTTTCACTGCCGCCTGCATCGCTGAACGAATCAGAAACGGTCTTGTTTCCCTAAACAGTCTTTTTTCCCTCCTACCTAGCAAGGACGCCTAAACAGTCTTAGAGTCTGAGTTTTTGCCACATTTACGAGAGGGACGAGTGCAGTGCGCGAGAGCATAGCAATGTCACATATCAAAGGACACATTGCGCAGGGCCAGCTCGAACCCTTAAATCCTAACCAGGAACCTCACCCCTAACTCCCCAATCAAAAGCAAAAGTTCCGAACTCCCTCATTTCTCGCTGTCCGGTCTCCTCGAGCAACCGCTTTTCCAGGTCTGCCTTGTTGGAGTCCCGGAGCGCCTGGCGTGTAGGGTGAGGGTTCCGGGCTCATATCAAGATTTGGGCTTATGGACCTTGCGGGTCCGGTTTTGGGGGGCACAAAACAACACAAACACAAGTGTGCAGCTCCTTTTTTCGTTCCATGCCCAAGGGTGCTTACGCCTGGCAGTAGCTCCGGGATCTCCGGCCGGGCCGTGTCTCAACTCTTGGACACTGCTAGGGCCTTTTAACCATGTTTAGGGCCTCCTATTTGCTCTGCTGGAAGTGTTGGCGCAAGAGCGTATCTTGCATGTAGCGCCCGGAAAGGGCTGCACACTGACCATCTTTTGCTTCCGCGACCAACATGCCACCGCTCTTTCCACAAAGCATGGAATGCCGGGCGCAGAGTATGGCGTGGCGGATGTCGAATGGCCGAAGCCGCAGATACTCGCAGTGTGACAAGGCTTTGTAGTTCTGCACCTCTTCACTTGACGACTCGTCCGGTTTGTACAGGTCGTCAGGATTGCTGTCGAAGAAGCCGTCCACATACTTGGAGACATTGTAATCCATAGCATTCCTGAGCGACTTCAAGCCGTAGCTGTTTGCGCCAAAATGGTTCGCGAAGGGCTGGTTTGGCAAGAACTTGCCGTCCTGGGCTGTCTCGAAGCCGACGCGGGCGCAGTTCGTTAGGGCTCCGGTGATGCCGGCGCCACTGGCCGCCCCGAGCAGTGGAAGCACCGCTACGGCGAAAGGAAGCACCACCGCACCGGTCACGGCTCCAGAGATGAGGCCCGCCATAAGGCTGACAAAGCCCGGACCGATTTTCTCTGCCGTCACTTCGCCAGCGACGAGACCGCCGGCCGTTCCGAAGGCTCCTGCAGTAAGCAAGCCGGCGAAAACACCGGTGACGAGACCGCCGGCGGCATCTGCAGGGGCAATGAGAGCCATCTTCAGTTTGTCCTTGTAGTCTTTTGCGCGCGACACGGAGATGGTCTTCAGCGGCTTTGCTAGCAGCTCTTCCGGCGACATCTCGCACAGCACGCAAAGGTTGAAGCATTGGTAGGAGTTTTGGTTTGCAAGTGCCTGATCGGTGAGCATCCAAAGGTCTCGGACAAGTTTCATCGACTCCTGAATCGGAGGCGAAGTACCAACGTACTGCGACTGCAGCTCAACCACATTATCCGTGACGCGTTCCAAGACGTGCGCATAATTCTCGGAGTGAATCCAGCTCTTCTGGAATTCGAGAGCTCGTGGGTAGTCGTTGATGCCTTCGACCTCCTCTGTGTCCGAGATCTCCAGCACGTCGACTGCAAGAGACTTCGAAGACCGGTGGCCAACCGCCCCCTGGCACAGGAGCGATGCCAAGCAGGCCGCCAGAACGCACCGAAGAAACGCTGGCATGGTGCTTAGCTAGGAGTAAGAATCCTTTACAGGGAATGGTCAAACAAGGGACAGGCTGCTACCACGAGGGCTTGAGCGGCAAAGGCTGGAGTCTCTGAAGACTTCAGTCTCTCCGTCAACTGGAGACTCCAACGCCCTCGTAAACCCGACGAATTTTCAGTTCAGGCAGATCAGCAACATCGGCTCCATACCAACCAGCTGGTGTTGGATGCGCACACGCCAGAAATTTCTTGGTTCAGTGTTCAGGGTTTCGACTCTCGCAACTAGCACGAAGCAGGTCCTGATGCGGTACGAAAACCGGTTACTCGCCGAGACATCCATTCGATAACCTCAAAGCCACGTGTTGGAGCTCTTCAGATTCATCTAAACTCTCGATCAGACCGAGGCGAGTTGTGGATTCGCACGCCTGAGAGGTGATTGCAAACCTGATTTTGTAGTTGACAGGTGGGCGAAAGAAAGAGCCTTCTGATTCGGCGAAGGTGCAGGGCTGTTCTTTGGCTGTTTTCGGGTCCGAATCCCGGGAGGGTCTCGGAACATGATGCTCTCAAGGGTTCTCTTAATACGGGCTCCTTAGAGGGATCTATGGGGTTTAGGGTTCAGGGTCTGCTGGTTCAAGGTACGGAAACGGGGACTTGACAAGGCGTTGGTTTTCAGTTTTCAGGGGCCAGATAGCTAAGACAGAAACTAAGACTCAGGCGTATGACTAGAACAACCTGTTAACAAACAAATATCAGCAAAAACACACACACACACACACACAAACGGCAAAATGTAGAGAACAAATACCTCTACATGCATTTTCTATACCTCCTGGCTGATCCCAGCACTTTAGTATGTGGGCGTTGAATTGTAAGGAACTTCAAAGATGGGCTCTGCCCTCAATCGAAGCGTCACATACGTCCTATAGCTATGAGGGATGCTCGATATTTCGGGGTGGTGTTCCGTATGGTGGTATGACTTGGTATAACGGAAACGCTTGGACAGCTGCTGGGTCAAATCGATCAAACTCAGTCACCATCCAAGCCTCTGGCTTCGTTCACAGCCTTTTCCGGTGACTCCAACATGAGATAAAGCGCACTGGGCTGGTGCAGCTAGAGTGAAAGACCAACAAACGCAAAACAACAAGAAAACAGGACCTTACTACAGAAAGAGACAGGGAACTGCAATTTTCCTTGAAGAGTGGTTTCAGGGTTGGGCCCAGGCAAACCCCGCAAGACAGTGCGGCGCAGCATGGAACCCCACCTCGCCCGAAGCCCAAATCCGAGCTGCGGAATCACGACAGTGTCTATCAAAATACTATACGGTACGATAAACAGATAACAGTATGCAGATACTATGGTTATTCCTGAAGGCTTGTCTTACATCCGAAACACTATCAGCCATAGGGCCATCAGGGTTTCGAACGCACTCGGGCAATCCATGCGATTCATGTGGGGGTTCCTGTTTTCTCCAAACACCCTACCTTGTTGTACAAGGAAAAATGTAGGACGTGTGGGTATTTAAGGGTCCAGGTAACCAGGTAGGGTTTTGACCCTAAACCCCCTAAAACCTAAACCTTTGATTCCGAAACCCGGTGTCGGAAGCACTTCGGCCTCGCCCAAGTCTTCTTGGAACTTGCGCTGCCGTTCCTCCTCCCGGCCCCTGCAGACAGGGGCTTCAGGGGTCTTTCGCGGTTCGGGCTTAACAGCTTAGGAGTTTTGGGCGGAGAGGTCTGCGATTCCGTTGTTAAATTACTCACTGCGGCCGCTGTGAATGGACTTGCGGCTGTGCATAAACTTCGCCGCCGTGCATGCCCGAACAATGCCGTGAGCTTGTGGACCGTCACTTGAGGGATTGAGCCAGACTTCGGTAGGACATATTGACTTGCATCCTGGGTAATTTAGAGATTCTGGACCTGCGTCTTGTGCAGGCACTCCTGTACCGGAATACTGAGCTTACCCTGCCAGAGATGTGCAAAAGTTGCCTTCCCGATGCTTGTAATCACAACTGCGAACCCTCCGTCTTTGAAGGTCATTTCTGACATGGACCGTCTAGATGCTTTGCTGCTCTTGTGATGCGACTGCAGTTCGAGACTTTGTGAGCCAAGCACCCCTGCCTGAACTCCATCATCTGCTCTTCGTGCCTGAAACGAGAAGTGGTTGATTCTCTGAACCCAAGCGCCTCTACTCAGCTACTCCGCCGCTTTGATGTGCTTGGGTTGCAGATTGCTTCGGGGGAGGAATCAGCAAGTAGCCATTTACGATGCAGGAAGAAGCACACTTCAGCAAAGTCCGGAAAACTGCTACTGCCACTCACCCTTACCAGCCATCTCCGAAATCTCCTGAAGCTTTGCTCGAAGAGGCTCGGGAAGTGCAATCGTCGGTTTGGCAGTTTGCCAGGGCCGTCCCCCCCGTCCTCTTTCGCTGGGCTGCTTCCCGATCCCTCAGCTGCTGAAGCTCTTCCTGACAGGAGTGGACTCGCTTCAGCTTGCGTTCAGGTTTGGGTGTCAATAAGTGCCACATCGCATTCGCAAACATAGGCACGGTCACCTTCCCAATGGCGTCAATACTGCATTACATCTGACTCCTGGCTCCCCAGGTTGTGCCGTTGGAGCACAGGCTACGTTGCAAAAAAACGGCTAGTAAACGTATGTATATATGCAATTATATGTATGTACGTGTGTGTGTGTGTGTGTGTGTGTGGGTGTGTGCATGTATATGTCTATGTGTGGACATATGCATATTCGCGTGTGGATGCGTATGTATGTGTGTGTGTGCGTATGCGCATGCGAACGCATGTGCGTGTGCGAATGCATGTATCCATGCATGCATGTGTGACTGTGTGGCAATGTCGGAAGGTACGCAGGTAGGTCGGTCGGTGGGTGCGTATAGGTTGGGTAAGTCGGCAAGCACGGGAAGGAAGGAGGGTGGATGGGTGGGTGGGAAGGGTAGTTGGGTAAGGGTGGGTGGGTGGGGTGACCACGTGGGGGAGTGCGGGTCGGTCGCAGTCGGGAAGGTCGGTGGATAACTAGGTAGGGGTACATAATTAGAAGCCGTTACGTCACGTGTGTGTGTGTGTGTGACTGGCACATACATACACATACAGTTTACGAGCGTCAGTGCACTGTCCTACACCACACGGCCAAACCAGACGATAAGCACACTCACCCACACCCATACGCACGAAACAAAAACGACAAAGGAAGAAGATCAAGCCAAGCTTCAGATCTCTCCAGGTGCAGGGAAGACCCCGAGACAGGAATGCACCAACAACACAACTGCCGTTCCTATGCACACGCGAGAAGAAGCTATAAGTAGCCCTGCAAGGATGCAACATCCCAGGTGCCTGAAAGCGCTGGTTCTGCTCTTGCTCCTGTGCCTTGAGAGCATCCTGCTCCTCAGCACTGTGGCTTGGCAGTCGTACCGGGCACCCACTTAATTCACAGAGGGGGAGTTGCAAAATCGACCAGAAGCCTGAACCGCCCGAAGTCTGCATCTGAAGGTGTAGAGAAGGGGGCTCCACCTGAGGATTGCGCCTGACGATACTGGTTGTCCAAGTTCTGCCGCATGTCCTCCATCTGGGTGACATAGGCCTTGCGGGGGGACGTCCGGCAATTCAAAGTGTGAATTTTGCAGTGCCTGAGCCGATGAATGTTGCCGATCATATGTTAGAACAAACCGGTTGAGGTAGCTGCTGAGGTGCAGCTTCGAAAAGAATGCATCATCCAAACTCTAACAGGTACATGGGTAGTTCTCTAGATTAGGGTCCCTCTTTGGGCCCCCAAAATGCTACGGCACCCGTCCAAAAAGGATCCTAAACGAGACTCTAATTTAGAGAACTACCCCCATCCAGAAATCAAGACTCCAAGCTTTCCCTAAGCTGAGAGCAGGGCCACGCGCTGCGACTCCAGCTGCTCCGCCGCGGCCCCCAGGGCATCGCGATGTGAGGCTTCCAGCTCCTGCCAGAAACGGCAGCTGCTACTACGACGACTACTACTACTACTACTGCTACTGCTACTACTACTACTACTACTACTACTACTACTACTACTACTACTACTACTGCTACTAGTTGCTAGTGTAACTAACTACTCCAACTACAACTACTTCAACTCTTCCCCTCAACCCCAAAGTGTGCAGAGGACATGAATATCCTCAGTTTGGACGGCGTGGCGGCTGGACTCGTCTTCCAGCTTGGCCTTTAGACCTCGAAGGAAAAAGCGCGAAGGCTTGGTGTGGATTTGTTCAGTGCGAGTCGGGATGCCAGCGTGGCACTCCTATGAACCATGCCTGACGACACTTGGCCAGACAAGCAAAACAGAGAGACAGGGAGAATGCGCTTAAAACATCCGATTTGTTGTGAAGACCCGAACGGCCCAGATAGGTCACTCTCGGGGTCGCGCGTTGGTTCTCAGCCTCCAGCTGCTCTATTTGCTCCTTGCGCCAGGGGCCCCTCGATCTAAAGCCGTCCGTCCCACGTGCGCAGCCCTAAAAAGCAGAATGACAGTGCTTGTACTCAAACTTGCCAGTGTCCGCCACCCACGGAAACTCAGCACGCTTTGCTACGCTTCACTGCCACTTGCTGTGCTATTCAAACGCCTGAGCCTCAAACCCCGAAGCCGACAAGGGCCACGATAGATACGAGAGGGTTTGGGACTTTCATTTTTCGTAGCAAGGATGGGTTTAGGGTTTTGGGGTGTTGGGTAGGGCCTTGGGTCTCGGGTCGCTGTAAGGAATGAGATTACCTTCTCACAATTGGACTCCGCCGGATGAGGTTCTTGGTTGGAGGATGGTTGGCATGAAACACTCCAGGCTGGCAAAGCATCCCCCCTAATGGGACATAATCTCTACACCGTGGCTCAAAAAAGTAGACTGCTCAAAGCGGCAGGCCGTGCTGAAGACGTCAGTTCTGCCAGCATAGACAACACCCTGAACCATGCTTCGGTGTCTGAAGACTTTTTGGGTCTCACGCTCTGCTGTGTGAGGTTCAAGCTTCGCTGTCGGCTTCGTGAAACATCTTTATGGGCTGCTCAATGCTGCTTCTTTCCCAGAGAGCTGGATAAGCGGTGGATATCGATATTCACAAGCGATATAGAGACAGCAAGGTTGACGGAAGCCTTCCGTAAAGAAACGCTTAAAAAGACGTGTTTGGCAGCCGGTCTAGGTATTAGCCCAACTGTACTCGCATAAGTGGCATTCTAAAAGTAGGGCGGTAAACGACGGATCTTCCCAAACGATCAAGTCAGCGATACCGGTATGAATGCAATATAGATACGGGCTTAAATGGCTCATTTACACTATTATCGCCATAGGTGTCATAGGAACCCTAAGGAACATGGGCAATTGTCAGGCAATTGTTCAGGCTTCTGTTTTAGAGCCTGGTGCCCTTTCGTTTGAAATTGGCCTATGCCGCGAGGCGCATCCTGCAGGTGCCACTAGCCCACATGTCCAAAGAATCACCCCAGCCCCTTCTTCTATTCAGGGTTTAGGGCTTAGGGAACCTTGTACTTCTCAGCGGACGCTGCGTAGGCACCGTGCAGTGTGGCGGCAGCACTTTCTTTTGAACCCGTGCTGTCGTTCGACGGAAGGTTGCAAAAAAAGGCCGTGCTCGACACAAGCCGTCAAGGAACGAGCAGCGAAGTACCTGTTACCCACTCAGTGGGAACGCCAATCAAACTGAGAGGTATGCTATATCATGTCCCAGAGTACATGACTAGTGTTGCGGGGCCAGCAGTCCATCGAATGTTTTAATCCGCCATCTTAAGACCCGTTTTGTTCAAACCGGTACCGAGCCCGATGCGCGTGACGCCTAAAGCTCCTGAAGCCGAATCCAAGGAAACCCTAACCCTATGAGTCTCTGCCGGCCCCTCGATGTTGAGACGACCACTGGCCAGGCCTTGCCAGTTCGGCATGGCAAGTGGCCGTCCTGGTCCTAAGGCTCCGTTGCCAAAATCATGGGTTTAGGGAACCCTAAACCCTCCTAGACTCCAAACCTTAGAGCTGCCAGGCTTCTTTTAGACTGTAGACTCTAAGCCTTAGAGATATTATGGCTAGCCTTCTAGGGCTTAGCCATAAGGCTTCAGTGATTATCAACCTCAAGACTCATACCCTCCTGCACAACGACCCTCAATCGAATGCCAGCTAAGTTAACGAACTAGCCCTTACTCAAGTTATGCGCAACCGCAAGCAATGGCATTGTCAAATGGCTTGCTGGAATGACAGCAGCCTGACTGCAACCACCCCACCGACCCATCTGCCCCATATCTTCTCTGAGCAGATAAGAGGTGCTGAGGTGAGCTCAAAACCCTACCTCCACACGGGAAACTCAAGCTCTGCCGCAGAAGCATGCAGGTGGCGTGTAGTTGTCCGCAGCCTCGCGCAATTGGAGGACAATCTTTTGAGCAGATGGCCGCTGCTGATGGCTGACATGCCAACTTTCAGCCATGAGCTCCCGCAGTGCGGCATGGCACTCAGCAACATTTGGCCTCGGTTCCTTGCCCAAGGAGAACTCTCTCAAAACAACTTCTGGATCTTTGGATATCTCGTGGAAAGGGTGCCGTCCGGAGCTCATGAAGAACATGATGAGGGCAAAGGCATAGATATCCACCTTCTCGTTGTATTGCTGATGCCTGACGACTTCGGGTGCCATGTATAACCAACTGCCAACTCCACCGGTCATGATGTATACGTCACCGACGACGGCTGCCATCATCTTCGAGATGCCTAGGTCTGCTATCTTCACTTCGCCGTGTCTCGTCAGCAACAGGTTGAGCGGCTTCAGGTCGCGATGAACGATGGGCTCCTCTCGGGTGTGCAGAAAGCTGAGCCCACGCGCAACCGCCAAGCTCCACTCCAAAACTTGATGGAATTGCGGTCGCCAGGTGGGCGTTTGGTGCTTCTTGCGCATGGCCATGAAGTGGCGCTCCAGATCTCCACCAGGCATGTACTCTGTGACGCACATGACAGGAGAGTCCCTATCCAAGCAGGCTCCGATGAAGAGGACCAAGTCTGGGTGCCGAAGGGAGGAGAGGAGCTCTATCTCGTGCAGCAACTCTTCCAGAAGATCCTGGTTCACCTCCGAGGCATGAAGTGGACGTGATGCGGTTAGATCGAACTTCTGCTTGGAACTCTTTCGCTGTGGCTCGTCTTTCTTATCGTAAGTCTCCGGGACCTCGACGCATTTCATCACAACATCTGTACCTTTCCATGTAGCCAGGTAAAGTGTGCTCTTCAGCGTCCGGCTGAGCTCTCTCTGCATCTCGAGCTCGCTTCGACGAAGCTTCCAGCGAGCCTCCGCCGCCCTCCCAAGGAGCTTGCTTCTGCGACCGGGTCTCCTTCCGGAGTCCTCTGTGGACAGCGAATTCTTCGTGTGCACCGGAAGGTCGACGACTTCGACGACTTCCACTTCCTTGGTCTCGCTCGTCTCAGCGATTCGAGACTGCTGCATTTGGAGATGATCCGCGTCGCTGAGGACTGGCAGCGCATTCACGGAGATTTGGCTGCTGTGACGGGAGGGTATCTCCTCCAACCCCACCTCATTGCTCTGGCTCTCCTCGGCGACACCGGGATCTTCTATGTGTGCAGCCTTCGGACTCGGCGAGCTTTCCACGCAGCACCAGAACATGGGCCTCTATGAGTCTTTGAGGATGGGACAACAGAGCGGAGTAGGCTGCTCCTGTGAACTTCTGTGCTGGTGCACTGCAGTACTGACTATAAGTACAAGCATACCTATGACTATAATGACTGCTTGAGCCGCAGGGAGCCACATCCCAAGGAATGAACTTTTGCTTGTGACCACGTCTGGCGCATTCGCCTGTCTTCCCCTCTCTTGGCCATGTGCTGCATGGATTGCTGTCCGACGAATGACGCGATCACCAGCCCGAAGAAAAGCAGGCCAGGCCCCAGCCCTTATATACATTCTTCACCTCACACTTCATGCAGTAGTTCCTTTTGGGTGTTCATATGTAGAATGTTATAAGGTAATCCCAAAAAAGAACTACTATGGGGCCTATGGGTAAGATGAAGCTTCGAGAGCACATATGCCAAACATCGTTTTGCATCGTGGGGCTCTCCGCTTCTGGGCTTAGGGATGTTGAGGGTCAGGGTTGTTCAGGGTTTGCAGCTTTCTTTTTAGCAAACCCGAGGTAGAAGAGGTCGAAATGCTGTATGGATCTGCAACGGTATAGGTTTAGCCCCTTGGGTGCATATAGTCGACGAACATGGTCAACATCTTTGCATACGACCTCGGGCTCGCAAGCTGATCCTACCGATACGAAAGACGACCCTGGATTCGCTGGACCCAACACAACCCAATTCTCAAACCAGGCTTGAAACTCGTAGTCTTGCCCTTGCTGTTTAAGAGGGGCAGGAGGCTCAGGGGCATGGTTACCATAATTTAATAAGGATCTATATATAATAAATCATATACTATTCGTTCCTTATTACGAGTACCATCTGTAGTTAATCAGATGGTTTCCTTACTACCCTATGTAAACCCCCAAAAAACCCTTTTTGCATCCGTAAACCCCTAAACCCCTTTTTTGAACCCGGCCTCTCTGCAAACCCTAAACCCCCAAACCCGAATCAACCCATCAGCTTCTCCCAAGAACCCCAGTGCTCCTTGAGCTGTGCCTCGCTCCGCTGGAACTCACTGGCCTCAGGGAAGGTCGAAATCCCCATGGACTTCGACCGCACCTACTGTAATATCTCCGTATAATATACAAAATATGCATGCATACATACCTACGGCGTGAGTAATTACATATGTGTATATGTGTGTATAAATACATGTATGTTATATACACATCTGTATATAATATCTGTACATATTATACATATATATATATATATATGTATATATGCATACACATTACAAATCGAAGACACGGCCCTTGTTTCAGGGGTCCCGGCCTGCCGCTGGAGATCAGCTCCCTGGGTCTCGGCATCCTGCTTGAACTTGGCCACCTCAACTTCCTGAGTTGTCCCTTTGATTATTTACTAATGTTGACCTAGGATTAATAATCCCCCTACGATTAAAGGCGGCCTGCGGGCGGCTCCGGCCCCAATCTGTACTACTTTAAAGGCAGCACCCAAATAAGGATCGTTTTTTGCAGAAAACCCCCCACGATTAAAGGCAACACCGTCTGGGGATCTAAAATTCAAAAAGTGCTTCGAAGACTACTTTTAAAGGGGGCAAGACTACATTTGAAGGGCGTCTTGTCCTCTTTCAAGCGGTTCTTTCAAGGGCTACTGCTACTGCTACTGCCACTGCTACTACTGCTGCTACTACGACTACTACTACTAGCACCACTGTTTACTGCAATTAATTTGGCTTCACGGGATTATTTGGGGGTCTGTGATCCTTGAGGGGGGGGGGGCGGGGGGGGGGTTTATTAATCAGGGGTCAACATTATATTATGGTTCTCTACAAAATAGTAGGGGAAGTTAAAAAATGGTTCTCTAGAAAATAGTAGGGGAAGTTAAAAAAGATCCCAAAGGACAACCCAGCTTCATGCTGCGTCTGCAGCTGCTCCTCAGCATCTTTGGCCGAGGTGAGCTGCGACCGGAGCTGGCGCAGCTCCTCGTTGTGCTGCTTCTGTATGGCTGCTTTCTCCTCCTGCCACACCTTCTCCGCCTCCTGCCGGAGGTCCTCGGCTCGTTTCCGCTCTTCCTCGGCGGCTGCGAGCTTCGCCTGCTCCAGCTTCTGTCGCTCCTCTTCCAGTCGACGCTCCTCGGCCTCCTTGGCAAGGCGGATCTTCTCTTCCTCCAGTCGCCTCCTCTCTTCCTCCTCCTCTCTCTGCAACCGCTCCTGTTCCTCCTTCTCGCGCTGCTCCTGCTCCCGCCGCTGCCGCTCCTGCTCCTCCCGCGAGACCCGCAGCTTCTCCAGCCTCTGTCGCTCAGCTTCAGCCTCCCGCTCGTCCTCCGAGTCCACCTCGCCGTCTTCCGTGGCGGCCCCGGGGTGGGCGGCGATGTAGGCCCGGAAGAGTCGGCTGCGCTTCCGCTGCCCGGGCTTCATGCGGTTCCAGAGGTGGACACGTGCCAGGTACCTGCGCCAACAAGCTTGCAGTAACCGACGCTCCCATGAAGGGTGGAAAGTTGCATCCTTCAGGGTCCGTGCCTGCGAACAACCGCCTGGACGAGGATTGCCTTGCTTCGGATCATGACGAAGATGGTGCGGAAGATGTAGACGCGCCAGGCACGCTGCAAACAGGGGGTCAAGCATGAAACATATGCGCACTACAGCTTCAAAGAGATGCAACGAACTGCAGTGCACCTGGATCTTCTTGGCTGAGTTTCCAAGCATCGCCATCCGCATGCCTGGCGTCAGCATGCAACCATTCGCAACCACAACTGCAAACTAGCCGCATCCGAAGGCAAGTGATCGTGCGACATGCTGGGTGCACTCCAAAAAGCCCTGGCTTTTTCGGCCCGCTTGGACTTGGCCGGGACCTGCTTGGCAAGACAAGTTCGGGCCCTGGCTTCATCCACGGATGATCGTAGCTTGCGAAGTGCGCCGGGCTGTGCTGCGTGCATCCGGGCCCCAGGTCACACTGAGGTCTCTTCAGAGGGGGAGAGCACCCAGCTCCAGCTTCGAAGGGAAAGTAGTCAATACCCGGTACACGCCGAGTCAGCTCAACTTCTCGGATTCCTGCCATGCCGCCGCTTCCAGCACTCGGAGCACTCGGAGCACCCTGCCAGAAGGCACGTCGCTGCGGCGAGGTCGCACGGAGGCAGAGCTGGCAGAGGTCGCCATCGGCAAGACGCACCCAGCCGAGACCTGCCGGTGCACCGGCGGAGGAGATGGGCTGAGTGCCGTGGCCACGAACGAGGAGCCAACAACTCTCCACCGGCTGACCGCAGCGCCCACAGACCGGTGCATGGCTCCGCTTCTTGGACTTCGCATAGCGCGAGGCTTTCGGCACTGGCATGGTGGCAGGGCACACGTTGACAGAATCGAAGCAGGCGGCGAAGTCGTCGAAGAGAATCCAAAAAGATCCATCCTGCTGTCCACTGTCTAGCCTATGCCCGCCACGTTGGCATATGTCTTGTGCAACATGAGAGTGGAGCTTCCAAGCATCGGACCCTCGCGACCACCGACCCTTCCACTCTTCCTTGCCCCATGGATTACGGAGCCGAACAAATCGCAAGCCATGTACTTCTTGAATCTCCAACACTGAATATGCATGGCCTTCGATGAGGCCATCCTCCCGGCGTCGTTCAGTCATGCCCCCTTTGGATATGGAAGCAGCTAGGAGGAAGTTCGCCTGTTCGTAGTATGCCAGGCGTAGAAAGAACTGCTCTAGAGGAAGCGTCCGGTTCGTGATTTCCAGTGCGGCACCTTTGACATGTGATTTCGACCAAATGGGCGTCTTGAAACGAAGCTTCCTGCAGGGCTTTCGTGAGACTCCGGCAACAACTTTTCAACTCGACAGCTCTCGCTGCATGTCCGAGCAAGACCTACCGGCGCAACTGTACACCTTTGCTACAAAGAGACCCCACCACAATATAGGGGCCTTCATAATTAGAACATGGTTTTGGGGCCCAAAATACTGTAATTACAGTACGGAACCCCCGAAATAACCTCCAAAATGGTGTTGGTAATTATGGAAGCCCCTATATTAAGCCTGACGCTCGGCCCACCTCCACTGCGCTCCTTCCCGCTGCCACCGCAGTTGCTCGCGTTGCCCCGTCAGCGCTTGGAAGGCGAGCTCGGGCACCCCGCCTCTGCACATACTATAGTAATAATACTATACCATGCTATATTGTACTATTATACTATACTATACTATACTGTTGTATACTATACTATACGAGATTACACTATGCTGTACTGTATTATACTATATTCTACTATACTATACTATACATTATACTATACTACACTAGAATTGTTATACTACATTCCAAGCTCTGCTGCTCAGGGTTGAGACGATCAGCACGGATGGATTTGTAAACTGAAAGGCCACGCAGCTTCGTCAAGACACACATTTGCAGAACTCGTAGTTGCTCACTTCTGTGCTCATTTGCTAATTATTATGTATTTCCAGGGCCCTGTTCCAAGTATCCTTCAATCCATCAACGAAGTGTCCTCGCTTGGAAGCCCAGCAGGCGAAACCCACAGGTCACCACAGAAAACAAGATCCATGGAAAAGACACTGCTCCAGCCCTCAACACCTGCGATTGAAACTTGAGCTTCGAGAACACAGTCACGGTGTGCCGGAACACTCGAACTAGCGTGTTGGGAAGCTGGGCTGAACATCATGCGCAGACCACGCAAAGGCTAGATTCGCCAACAGCCCTTCAATGTTAGATGTCAAAATGAACGTCGAGTCTAGGGCCACTGTATAGTGATCATCGGCGGTGACATTGCCAGCAGCTACTTTTTGGTTCAATCCTACGACGCTGAAGATCAGGTCGCCTTCCAAAGCGCCGTAGGACCCAGCCAGCTTGGCAAAGGCTTTCCTGGAGCCCCCAAAAAGCACATAAGCAAAAATTAGGAGAGGGATATCCCATATTAAACCCGAAGGGTCTGGACTCTCGCACCTCAGACTCTTGCAAGGTTTCCGGTTAATTGACACTATGGAGGTGGTATCGACTAACACACTCGCTGAAGGCAGGCACGGATTTTAGCGAAAGATCCAACTACACCAGGCTGAAGTGAGTTTATTTCTTGAAAGGTTTGGGCTTTGTCACTCATGCGGGCTTCTCGGTTATCCAGAGCCGTTCGTGCCAGCAATGCCGTGTAAAAAATGCACGTATTTCTGCTTTTGTCCCTGCTATCGCGTTCTCGCTGGCTCCTTCTGGCTCTTACTTTCGCAAGGCCGTCGCACAGGGCCATATGCATCCCCTGCTCGGACATGTTTTCAAAAGCTTCAAGCTACCCTCGAAGCCCCGGAACCCATCCCTTCGGCAAAGCTGCTCCATGAGCAGCGACCAGACTTCGCCTTCCACCGGTTGTGAAAAGCAGGGCTTGTCCCCTGCAAGGAAGGTGCCAGGGCCGGCCCAGAAAGGTAAGGAGAAGCAGGGCACCAGATCATCGATCTCAATCGCTCGCCAACCTTACCACGAGGCCGATCTCACAGCACCAACCTACCATCAAAACGGACATAAATTCATAAACGTGGGTGTATGTTTAGCCTTAATGCAGGTATACGCATCATTATGCGACCATGTGTATAGAGAGACGGCTAGAAGCAAGACAAAGCAGAATGCCAGCTGCGACCGGGGATGCCGGACTCGGTGTGGTAAAGCTGAACCACATACCGCCCATCTGCTGACAGAGTTGAAGGTTCAAGCAGCATTTCTACGTGACCCGGGAAATCTGCGACACAGGCCAAGGCCCCAATGAGCCAGCAGTTGCCCAGGGAGCCTTGCCGCACGTTGCTCGAATACTCTCGGGAGGAGCCGGTGGCGGAGTGCCCGAAGAGGGTTATTCGGCCTTGCCCGCGAATGTTGCTCACACGAGTCCATGCGATGTCCACCGGAGGCAACCGTCGGGCTGGGCCCAGCGATGCCTTTCTTTTCAATCACTTCTTCATCATGGGAGTACACAGTACACACTTTTCGTTGGCTCATGCAGTTTAACTCCCGAGACTCCGGCCCAGAACGAACCGGAAATGATTTCTTAACAACCTGCGACTTACATTCTCTAGAACCCGAAAAGAATACGGCTAGCTGCTCCGAGGATGCTTTGCTTGGAGGAAATGCATCGTCCACGAAACGGTGGACAGCCTCGCAGTAGACGAAGTTGCTCCTGAACAACTCCCTGGTGCCTAGTAGGGGAATGGGAGAATGGATCCCTATAGTAGTCCCGATATGATCCCCAATCATATCCATTCCCGAATTCCTTACAAAGAACCAGGGAGACAACTCCAGGCACATGCTCTCGACATTCCGATCCCCACCTCTTCGGACCCAACACCGAGCGTTTAACGTGAGACCAGCACCTCAAACCGTCGATATGACGTTGGCCAAAAACTTTCAGCCTCAGCATTCCAACACACATAATGCTCTCTACGATAGTACGGCCACAACCGCGTGAAAAGAGGCAAACTGCGACTTAAGCTCAGCCCCACTCTGCCCTGAACCGCGTCCTCGGTCGTCTGCGTCTGTCAAGAACACCTTGGAGTCGCCACTTCCTTGATCTGCAGAACAAACTTCCGAGGGTGTTAGGGCGGTTTTTGGTCGGACCGTTTCCAAGGCTTGACATGAAGAAATTGAGTTTAAGTTGCAGTAGCTGCCAAACTGAGGTGGTGGAGGGTGTTTATGAGTACACGGCTGAGGGGAGCTTACGTTGCTTTAGTATAAGATACTGGCCAAGATAGGCCTCAAGGGTTTCAAGAAGCTTCCTACGATGCTTTGCAAAACTTAGTTGAAGTTCCACAAACAAGGTTGGGTTTAGAGGGCTTTAAGGGTCGAAAGGGCGCCAGGGAACCCAGTATTACTAATGCACCCTAAAGCTTGGATGATCAGAAGTATGGTGGGCGGCAAGAGTTTCACAAGGCTTTACGCTCTCACAACTCGGACAGAACTTAGCTCGGGCTACGAGAATGAGGAGACCCTATTGCTCAACCATCTTACTCCATGAAAAACAAAGAGAACGCTCTATCATTTGCAACTTTGCATGCAATACCCTAAGAGCAACCCAGGCTCAGGTCCACCAATCCACAGCCTCGGCTTGGAAGAATCAGGGGTTTGCCTCTTAATACTCAAAATATGACGCTGCCTTTTTGTTGAAGGGGCGGGTGGTCATGCAGGCTTCCATAGCAGCTCTTTTTGGGAGCCTGCTACTTCATTGATTCAGTTTTTCGGAGTTTACACACTCGCAACTCGGACTCGCCAGACGAGGTCTCTCGGTACGTGTGACACTGACACAGAAGTTTGCCCTCAGTTTTTCGGAGTTTAGGGTCTACTGTGAACTTTAAACTTACAGGTTACACCCTTTTGCTGCAGGCTTGCTTCGAACCCTAAGCCCTAGTTGACACTCTGCAGGCACGAGCTCTCCGAGATCTCGCTCAAGCTTGCTGCAAAGGTTGAGGTGCTGGACCAAGATGGCTGGTGTCGGGGTTGGGATTGCGCTCTCGCAACTCGGACAAGCCGGACGAGGTCTCTTGGTACGACTACATGCTACGGTAGGATGACAATCGAGGCTCAGTTGGAAGGGTAAGATGTAGGAACACAGGGCCTAGAGGGGGTGTACTATAGCATAACTGTAAGAAGGACCCGTACCGGAATTGTACTACTTCTCATTCCGGGTGCGCGAAACGGAGCCCCAAGTAACAGTGCATGAGTCCAAAGCCGAAAGATTTTTCCCCCACTCACGCTGAACCGCCACCCGGTCATCATGCAGAAAAGGTGCTCACATGCAAACCGAGCATTTCAGTTCAAGAAGACGATGCTGGGCGAAACCGGCTTCATGCATCTTGATCCGAAATGGACGGCCACCAGATCACAAAGAGAAGTTTCCCCGATGGCTCTACTCGTGGAACGGCTGCGGCCCGCACAGGCTTCACTCAAGTACACAGTATAATATACTGTTGTATATTCCAATATTCTATAATACAATATCATATGTTATATTTTAGCAGCATGGAGGGCTTCCCAAACCCACGGGCCTTCGATCGTTTCATAGGCCACCTGCTTGAAGAAGACCTGCTATGCAAAAAGGTGGCCTGTGGCCTTACGCTCTCGCAACTCGGACAAGCCAGAGGAGGTCTCGGGGGTTCTGAGTACTTGGACTTATGTGCAACAGCTGACGACCAGTTGTACACCACGGGGGAGCACTGAACAGCACCGGCATAAATAATTGGAATTGGAATTGGGGGTATATTATACTAAGGAACCCCCAAAATAATACAGGCAATTAGTATGGCCCCTATACTAGAGTGCGGCTCTCCCAGCTTGGCGGACCGGGCAAGGAGTAAGCGTTCGCATGGGCACAGGAACCACGACTCCATGTACTCAGTGGCAAAGGAGTACTCCAGGAGTCTTGTTGCAGAAGGTTTCTGGGCCATGTTGGGGTAGTCCGATTTGGGCAAGTGTATTCAAGAGTTTGTCTAAGCCTTATAAACCCCGAAAAAGCTTAATCAAACTCTAAATCCCAGACTCTGGCCCCGATGGTACACGCCACACCAAGGCCAAACCCTTGACCCTCAACTCTGCAACCCCGGGCGCCGTGGTCTTGCCAATGGCGTACAAGGGCATGCTGGCAGGCCACTTCAACTCCTCGCCATTCTCCCCAGAGGAAGGGTTCAAAAAAGTCTTTATAGTAGCCTTACTGCCACCTTGTGTTCTGAACCTCTATGCGCATTGGCCTGTGGGGCTTTACAGGCTTCTGTTGGCGGCAGGCGCAAGATTTTGCTGCAAGGATTCCAATACCAGCTGGAAACCTGAAAATTCCATCTGATCACCAGGACGGGTACTTCAAGCAGTTCCAAACAAACTGCAGCCTGACACGCTGCTGGATCACTGTCACAGGCCCTGCGTGACCCCGGCACCTCAAACACTAAACCCAGCATGCTCTGCCCATAGGCTCCTTAGTACTTCCTGTTTTGGGGCTCATATTTAGAATCCTTTACATAAGGTAATCCCAAAAAGGAACTAGTATGGAGCCTATGGGTAAACCCCCAAACTCACAACATGCTAAAGCCAACAGTCTAAGCGTCGATGATCTCAAAAAGCCTTCCAGTAACCTGCTTAGCCTGACCAGGTGCAGCTCGTTTGCCTTGGAAAGCTGCGCCAGAGACTCTTTGAGGCCTGAGCGCTTTTGATCAAGCAATCCTTGCGAAGTGTTCAAGTGGTGGATGTTACGGATCATATCAATATGGTTTCGGGTTTTCATGCCATGACTATCGTTGAAACAGCTGACAACACTCAGGCGACTCTCGCAAGTTTCCGTCTTATAAGGCCAAGCACGAACCTCGGACCTGATTCGTCTTTGTCTTTGGTCGAAGATTCAGACAAAAGTCAACTAGTTACCCCGCAGGACATGGGTGCTCAGAGGAAATCCCCTTTCCGCCAGTGGCCGGAAATTGCGCCTTGTTTGCATGAATCTGAAGCTGCTAATGGGCGATTCTTCGTGAGACGCTCAGATGAGTTGGCTCCTTCACATGTTCCTACATTATCATTAAGCGTGAACTCCATGTCGCGAATGCCGTGGATGTGGCGCGGCACCTGGAACGACGTGGATGGAAGGCGACCCGACCTAACCCCGTAAGATCAGCAAAGTCTCGTGCAAAAAAGATGCTGATCACACAGACCGAACAAATAGATCACAAGCAAGGCTCACCCATGTCACGTTCCTAGTGATGCCATCTGCTGCTATCCCTCCCCTGAGACTGTGGCAAGCATCCAGCGGCAGCTTTCCAAATCTCTCCCGCTCCTCCTTGGCGAGGGCAATGCCACATAATCCAGCTATGATTAGAAGAGGGTTTTGGGGGCTCCTTATTAGAATTCTAGTAATATACTCCCAAGCCCTGCTACATTAACTGGAAGCTGCAGCCCTGAAGGCTATGTCCCGTAGCCTTCTTCACCGTCTTCTATCGCCTGCCTGGCAGGTTCCAGATTCCACCCTGCCCCCATACCCTGAGCCTAAATCTTCAACTGGGCGGAAAGGAAAGAAACCTGCACTGAACAAAACGCCGTTTGCCCAGACCTTCGAAGCTGCACTGAGCCCCGGGCTGACTTGAAGATGATGCTCAGGAACTCCTCTGCTCTCGGCTCTTGGAGGAAAACTCATCGAGACTCCATTCTCGGGGTTCGGTTTGCTCGGTTTCTGGTGCCGGCAGCGCTCGGGCGGTACTTTGGGCGACAAACCGGCAGGCGATATCACTAACATGAGTGGCACGCTTGAGGGCTTCAGCTCTCGGATCCTCACGAGCTCATGCAATTCTTGTTTAAGGGCATAGCCTGAAAGCGCAGAAAAAACTCAATCGTACGTCACGGTGACGTTCTCTATTGGCGACTCTTTGAAGCGAGTTCCGATTGCGGTATTGTTGTTATGAGTATTCGTTGTTTATTTGCTGTTGTACAATTAGCTATTCCGTAAAGGACGTGGTGGCGATTACTATAAAAATTCTTCTTGCTACAATTATTTCGTTGGTTTTTGTTGTTATGAATAAACCGCATGGTTATGATTATCGTTATCTGGCTCTTGCCGCAAACGCTCCTGTCAGCAACTCGCTACAGCCACCCACCACCCACCCTATCTAAAAGCGGCTCAACATCCAACGTTGTCCCAGCACTGGCCCAAAACTCCGCCACCTTCCAGCAAGACTTGTGAAGGCTCCTCGGGGCCGAGGTATTCTTGTTTCAGAGGCATAGAAGTCTCGGACATGGCTCCGATTTCAGGATCATCTGGATTTCCCAGGGCTCAGTGGCTTTGGGCGGCTTAGGTTAGGGCAGCAAATGACTGTAACTGCAACTACAGCATCTGCCTCAAGAAACTGAACTGTTCAGATGACTGGAATAGGGGCAGGTTGCCCTGGCAGACGTGAAACGACTCAGACTTCAACGTTGAAGTGCAGAAACCTTCCAGGCAGCTTCACCTGCAGCCACTGCAATGCCCAGTGAAACAACGTCCCAGCCCACCTGTGATCCCCAACCCAACCCCCATGAAGCTTCCATAAGCTCGTCCTGCATGGGTAGCCGGCCCGCTGCACGTGCAGAGCTTCCTAGGGATGCAAAAGGACTCTTTTGTGGATTCCTGGGTGTCTCGGATGTTTGGGCTGTACAAGCCGAGCTTGCTGAATGAAGTTTGTATATCTCTGTTCCCCGAAGCCCAAGGCTCTCAGCCCTAAGGCCCCCATCTTAAATCCCCAGCCCTACTGTAAAAACCGTACATTCGGCTCTAGCGTATACCCAATCAGCCCAGGATCGATCACGCCGCCCGAACGCAGCTGCTCGACCACCAGCAGTCGCTCCAGGCGATCTGCGCGTCGTGAGCTCGGCTTTTGGCCCAGGGTGATTTGTCTTATTCGGATTGTTTTAAAGCTCAACCTCGGCGATACAAGGCGAGGTCTGCAGACGACTGGTGAATCCTCTAAACGTTTAAACCATCTAGGACGTTCGGGTTTGAAGGACCTGAAGTGAAACGCTTCGGGCTTAAGGCTTTGGGTCCTGCAGTCAGACGCGAATTCCGGAGCCGGATGGGGTAGAGATAAACCAAAACACTCCACGCATGCGGCGCAGTGCATTATGAAGAAAACCAGGTTCCAGAAATGCTCATAAAAAAAAGCGCTGGATCAGAACCAGGCTCAATTTTGGGTCATCGCACTCGACTGATGAAACCCGCCTGGTAGCTTCTCTGGGTTGGGCTTGACACACCGGACCTGGAGAAAGATCGGAAGATCAAACAGCTGAGGTGCAATTGAAAAGACTACCCAGAAGCCCCAAAACAGTTCCCTCCTTGGGATTACCTTATAGGATTCTATATATGAACAGAAGAAACTACTAGTTCCACAGTTCCACCGGTCCTGACGCTATTGGGGATTGCCTTCTGAGGTGTAGTTGGTTGTACGAGGGTGACTTTCAGTAATTATCGGTTCAGGGAGCCAACCCTGCGTCTGACAGAACCCCCTGAACACGAGAGAGAGAGAGAGAGAGAGAGAGAGAGAGAGAGAGAGAGAGAGAGAGAGAGAGAGAGAGAGAGAGAGAGAGAGAGAGAGAGAGAGAGAGAGAGAGAGAGAGAGAGAGAGAGAGAGAGAGAGAGAGAGAGGACAGGAGAGAGAGAGAGAGAGAGAGAGACAGAGACAGAGAGAGAGAGAGAGTGATCATGATAATGCCATAGGCAAGTTGCCTTCTAATTGCAGCCCTCGGTATCATATGCGCATTTGCAGCTGCCTCAACCACCTGATATCCTTGAAAATCCAATTTTCGAGTTCTTATGTTGCAGAGCGCGTGCTGGTAGTTGTCCTTGCAGAGCGGCCTTCAACTCATCATGACTACTGTTTGACAATCATATGGGGCTTTCGGGTTGCCCGCTGTTGAGCGGATGCCGTTTTCCTGCTGAGTATGTAGACTCTTCTGGAGCTCGGCACTTGCACCATGCTGCCCCAAAGAATTGCCTGGACATGGCCTTTTTCAATAACCCATATGCCGTTGTAGATGAAGCCGACACCCTGTGCACTGCACTGCTCGGGGCATGGCAAAATGTGGCCCCGCCACTTTCATCTTCCCCACCTCAGCTCTTGAGCGGCTTCCATTGGGGGGACGTTCGCTTCGTGGCTTCTGGGTGCCCGCAGTGTTGGGACTGGGCTGGGTTTTGGACTCAGCCCGAAGCTTTGGGCTTTCCTGGATCTTCTTGCACTTTGAGTTTAGGATTTAGGATGAAAGGGCTGGAGGTGTCCCTCAAGAAACTGGACACAACCGTTGCCTTTTG